ATTCAAAGTATTGTCCATCGCTGACCACTACTTTCTCCCATCTTTCGGGTAGCGTACGAATTCCGCATCGAAAAAACTGATCATGTTTTAAGGCGATCCACGAATCGATCCAATTTTTTACTTCTTCATAAGATCGGAAGTGCTGGTCAGCCAGGCTGTGCCAATCAATATTGATCGAAACAAGTAATAGTCAGAGGGAGCAACGTCTGGAGAATACGGTGGGGTAGGACTTCCCCAACGTTTCCAAGTATGTCTTGACCACTTTCGCAACATGGGGTCGAGCATTGTCATGCTGCAAAATCACTTTATCATGTCTTTTGTTATATTGCGGCCGTTTGTCTTTCAATGCTTGGCTCAAACGCATCAATTGCGTTCGATACTGATCGCCTGTGATTGTTTCGGTTTTAACAGCTCATAATACACTACGCCGAGCTGATCCCATCAAATACAAAGCATGACCTTGGAATCGTGAATATTCGATTTGGCCGTCGATGTGGAAGCATGGCCGGGAACTCCCCATGATTTTCTGCGCTTAGAGTTATCGTAATGAACCCATTTTTCGTCCCCAGTCACAATGCGATGCAGAAATCCCTTCCGTCTTTGCCTTTCAAACAGCTGTTCACAAGCAAACAAACGCCGTTCAACATTTCTCGGCTTCAACTCGTACGGCATCCAATTTCCTTGCTTTTGAATCATTCTCATGACTTTGAGGCGTTTTGAAATGGCTTGTTGAGTCACTCCCAATGATCGTGCCAATTCTTCTTGATTTTGACACGAGTCTTGATGAAGTAATGCCTCCAATTCTGCATCTTCGAAAACCTTCTCTCTTCCACCGCTATGCCAGTCTTCGACGTCAAAATCACCGTTCTTGAAGCGTTGAAACCTCTCACGACACGTTCTTTCACTATAGCGGCCTCACCATAAGTATTTGAGAGCATTCGATGAGCTTCAGCCGCAGATTTCTTCATATTGAAGCAGAAAATTAAAACCTCCCGCAAATGACGAGAATTTGGCTTAAACTGACATTTTCAATCGAGAATAACTTTATGATGCAGACACAAATCGACTAATGTTTCTTATGTTGATAGATGCCCAAGTTTACTGTATGACGTCTATTATTTATTTATTTTGACCATTGTGGATATTGGTGCGATTGATGTGCCCAATATGGCGCCGAAAGTGTCTGGGCTCTGGCGATTACTAACTAACGGCGAAGGACAATTGGCGGGAAATCGTTAAGTTGCGAATGAATGCTACTCGCTGATTCTGACTCTTATGCCATAAGGCGGTTTAATACAAACTTGACTAATTATTTAGTCTATCTATATTTTAACAAATATAGATTACAAAAATAGAAACGTGATTGCGTGCGTAAGATGGCTCGGAAGACGGCTCGGATACCGGCATTGCGTCGCGGGGTTACAATACAGGAAATTAAGAAAATATACACTGAGTATTTATCCGACGACACTAACAATTATCACAAGACATGAACGGTAATCGATATCGACCTCGTAGTGAACACAAAGTAATTCGCAACCAACGCTCGCAATGCCACAGTACTCCCCTCCCAGTGTAAACGTTAAAGAAAGAAATACTGGTTACAATATCGCTAGAACGAAAGTAACAAAAAATAAAATTAAATGAAACAAACAGAAATTTATACTTATTGGTCGTTTGCTTAACGTAACATTGCGCGAATTAATTCTTAAAACAGTCTTTCGCTTGGTTGTTGGACTAGGATATGTCTTTGGTTCACTTTGCACTGGAATGTTAGTTGAAGACGGAGACGCAATGGACGGAGTAGTTTCTGAGTCTTGGATTAGTATGTAAGCGGGCTTAAGTCTATCGACAGTGGCATTGATGCATTTGCCGATTGATTCGACTTCTATAGCAAAGACTTTGTCCGAAATGCGCTCTAATACTTTATGCGGTCCGGTATATGGTTGATCCAGAGAACGTCTGTTGCCTTCTACTTTGAAGAAGACGTGAGAGCAGTTATACAAGTCTTTATGGAAAAATAGCTTAGGTCTAATGTGATGAGAGGTTAGTCTAGGCCGCAACTTTTGTATGATTACGCGGAAATTTTCGACAAAAATTCGTGGGTCGCTTGGATTTCTTTCAGAGGAGAAAAATTCACCGGTACTTTGAGCGTAGTACCGTACACTAATTCCGTTACAGAAGCGCCTAGATCCTCTTTGAGACAAGTTCTCAATCCGAGTAATACTACTGGCAATGTATCAGTCCATTGAGTTTCACCGTGGCACATTATTGCTGTTTTTAGAAAGCGATGCCATCGTTCGATGATGCCATTAGATGCCATTAGGAATGGTATGCAATTGTCCGACAACGTTTAGAATCTATGTATTTGGTTAATGTGTTGAACAGTTGCACTTCGAATTGCGAGTCTTGATCGGTCGTGATCAGGCGTGGAACTCCTGGAATCTGACTACCCAGTGAGTGAAAAACATCTTCGCCACCGTGTTTGCTGTACAATCCTGTAACGGAATAGCCTCCGGCCAACGAATAAATCGGTCAATCATTGTTAATAAATACCTGAAACTTTTGGATGAAGGTAGAGGACCGACGATATCGATATGTATATGCTCGAAACGAGTATCTAATATTGGTATTTTGGTAGGCGAGGTATGATTATGCCGATAAATTTTAGATTGCTGGCACGCTAGACAAATGCGGGCCCACTCTTTAATGTCCTTAGACATGGAAGGCCACACAAATTTTTGCGCAATTTGCTGGTGAGTCGCTCTGCCGCTTGGATGCGACATTTGATGCACCATGTCAAAAATTCGTCTTCGTAATGATCTAGGAATGTAAGATCTGATTTCTTCTTCTGAAGTATCACAGTAAATATTGGATGCTGTTTCCGATAAGGTAAACTTTTTGAGCTTCAAAGACGTTGAAGTTGATGTAGATTGCTTCAGTTGTTGCAATTCATCATCCGCGTCAATCCCTTACATATCGAGACTAGTTGGCATCACGATAGTGTCGGCGCGAGATAATGCATCTGTTATAATGTTTTCGGCGCCTGAAACGTGACGTACGTCGATTGTGAACTCCGAAATGAAGAGTAGTTTACGAGTTTGTCTTGGCGACATCTGATTTCCTCTTGAATGCATACACGAGGAGTTTAGGATCCGTGATAACGTGAAAATTTCGTTTCTCTAACATATATCAAAAATGTTTGATAGCCATATAGTTAGCTAATAGTTCGCTATCATATGCACTATACTTTGTTTGTGTAGGCATGAGCTTCCTTAAAAAGAAGCTGAGTGGTTGTAAAAATCCGTTGCTGTACTGTTGCAATACCGCGCCGATTGCTTTGTCTAAGGCGTCTGTTTGCAACGAGAGCGTTGCCTGTCTGGAAATGCGAGCGAGGTGGCTTGAGCGAG